GTAGCTCAAGGGTGCTCATTCCTGCTCTTGTATATTGCAATTTGTTCCTGCTGTAATGCATCTGTCTAAGTTTCTGCTGAAGCCCAAGTGCTCGATTACCTGCTTCAGAAGCGTTTAATTAGAGATGCAGCTAAACTTCAGCTTTCTTTTGAAGCATCTTCAGGCTTAAGCACAGTCGCAGCATAACAAGACAGTGTTTCTGGTAAGGAAATGCATTAAAATGATAAAACTTAGACTGATTGACATACAGTACCTATTATTTTAGTGTTTTACAAGTACCTCATTACTTACCTCACAATTGCGTGATCTTTAACATGTTTTATACATAGACGTACCTCCTTTGTGCAGTACCTGAATGATGAAGTCAACATGAAATCTAACAAATCAAATTTACAGTCTTAATATGGATTCTTGGTCATATTGTGAACTATTAAATGCAAAATAAATTCAATTATTTGCAAAATAAGCAAATAAATTACATACAGGCACACCTCAAATTGGAATTCAAGCCGCAAACAAGTTACAAGATAAGGACAACCTAAAATCTTTATATAGCAACTCTAGTCGGAAACTTTGGCAACACTTTAGAGACCAATTCTCACTACTAACTAGTTGCTTATTAGCATGCATATTACTAGCATATTGGCTGTTTATTAGTACTTATAAAGCACATAGTAATGCCTGATTCTGCATGACCTTATTTTAGATCCCTAATCCTACCCCATACCTAAATTTAACAACCACCTTACTATTAATAAGCAGTAAATTAGGAGTTTATTGAGGCAAAAGGCATAGTTAATAGTAGGCTAAAAGTGAGAACTGTTCTCCAAACTGAAGTGTGGCCGAAACTTTTTGCAAACACTGATACTTCAAAACTTCCTGTTTGAAGATAAGTTATTTAAAGGATTCACTTCCTAAATAAAAAATTCCTGATAATTTACTCACCCCCATGTCATCCAAGATGTTCATGTCTTCAGTCGAAAAGAATTTAAGTTTTTGAGGAAAACATTCCTGGATTTTTCTCCATATAATGGACTTCGATGGGAACTAACAGGCCGAAGGTCCAAATTGCAGTTTCAGTGCAGCTTCAAAGGGCTCTACACAATCCCAGCTGAGGGAATAAGGGTCTTATCTAGCGAAACGATCGTTAATTTTCTTTAAAAAAAATAAAATAAAAATGTATATACTTTTTTTTTGTTTATACCACAAACGCTCGTCTTGCACCAGCCCAACCTCACGCACTGCGTAGTCACGTTGGAAAGGTCACGTGTGACGTAGGCGGAAGTACCAAACGTGCAAATAAAGTCAAACGCCCTTTACAAAAACAGGTAAAACAACGATGTCGGACGATTTTGAAGTTGGAGGAGAAAATGAGCAGTTTTTCACTCTAACCTACCTTTTTGAACTGGAGTAACATTACACAGAAGAAGAGCTAATCGCGCGTGACGTTTACAACGTGATTACGTAATGCGTGAAGTCGCACATTTGTGGTTAAAAAGTATATACATTTTTATTTAATTTTTTAGAAAATGACTGATCATTTTGCTAGATAAGACACTTACTCCACACTGGGATCGTGTAGAGCCCTTTGAAGCTGCATTAAATTGCAACCCGTTGATCCCCATTGAAGTCCATTATATGGGGAAAAATCCTAGAATACGTAATTTCTTTTCTAATGAAGAAAGACAGACAAACATCTTGAATGACATGGGGGTGAGTAAATTATAAGGAAATTTTTATTCCGGAAGTGAACTAATCTTTTATTGTTGAAAAAAAAAAAAATATATATATATATAAGGATTTACTTTCTCTTCCATTATCAGGTTTAACATTACAAAATGTCCATTCATGCATCGTGTTCCACTTTTGCTAAATGCTAGGTGTTGGTTAGCAATAGCTCATTGCAGGGCATAACTAAACAATGTTATTGTTACACTTAAGGCAAAATGATAAAATGCTCACTGAATTAAATGGCCATAAGCGCACAAACAGTTGAAGAAATACATATTAGATCAGGGCAGTAGTGAGGCGATGGTAGCTTTCGATGTAGCTTTAATCTGAAATGATCTTAAACGTCAATATTCGCTGACATCGTTAGGTAAGCACACTTTGTTCTTTTTGTCAGAGATGATAAATGCTAGGTGAGGGATGTTTTGCTCCCCGCAGTTTGATTTTGTATGTTCCTAAAGCTCTGGCCCAGTTCTCGCATCTCTCTGTTCTTTTTATATCGGCGTGACTGAACTGGTTGAACGATCGCAAAGCCTCCTTTATTTTGATATCGCTGCAGAAATCTATTTGGCACATTCTGTAAGTGTTAATTGTTCTGTAAGATAATTACATAAATGGTTAACCCCTGACGCTTAATTTAGTCAAAGGCTTCAGGATACACACCATCTGGGACGCAAGACTACAGTTATCTCTCATTCTATCTTTGTTGTGAGCACATGATGAAATGGAAAGTGAAGGGTATTTGATAAAAGGTTACGGCAGTCGGATCGTCTCACCTCACGAACATAGGATCTTTCTTGAGATGCCGTCTGATTTATAAGGCTCTGACAGAAAGATGCTGTAAATGCTTTACAGATTGGGGCATAAAACGTGCTGCAGGTGAAATCAAGGCTGTAAATGTCTGTTGGATGCACATCTCATACAAATGCTTTACAAACTCTTCTATTGTATTAAAGTTTATAAAATATGTAAAATAACTAATCCATCAACCTAACAATCAGCTTTTAAGTCTCTATGATTTAGGTTGTTGTGTTCAATGAGCCTGAGCGTTGCCGTTCTTTGGGTAGTCAGTGGTTGTTCCTAGTCGTTTGTCTAAAACTGGCTGTGTAGTTTTTCTCTCGACCTGTTACTGCAACATAACCGTGTAGCGTTAAGCAGGCAATGTGGAGAAAGAAACGAGCTCCATGGAAACAGAGTGCACAAGAAGTGAACCGTATGTCACCTCGCCTGAGGGAGATATTATCCTGAAACGCACGCTCACGTCCTTATCACAACACAACTTTTAACACGATCTCTGGCTTTACTGAATCGTAATTTGGTGCAGCTCCCCAAAGGCCACTAATAAGTACATACAGAAATACACAACACGAACCAGAGCTACAGAACAACAAGTACATACATAGAACGCAGAACGACAGATAGAACGATATACTGTAGATAGAAAGAAACAGACAGACAGATAGATAGATAAACAGACAAATAGGTAGAATGATGGATAGATAAAATATTATATGGGTGAGTAGCTAGGTATAGATACAATGAGAGATGATAAATAGATAGATAGATAGATAGATAGAATGATGGATAGATAAAATATTACATGGGTGAATAGCTGGGTATAGATACAATGAGAGATAAGAGATAGATAGATAGATAGATAGATAGATAGATAAAATATTACTTGGGTGAGTAGCTAGGTATAGATACAATGAGAGATAAGATAGATAGATAGATAGACAGACAGACAAATAGGTAGAATGATGGATAGTTAAAATATTAAATGGGTGAGTAGCTAGGTATAGATACAATGAGAGATAAGATAGATAGATAGATAGATAGATAGAATGATGGATAGATAACATATTACATGGGTGAGTAGCTAGGTATAGATACAATGAGAGATAAGATAGATAGATAGATAGATAGATAGATAGATAGATAGATAGATAGATAGATAGATAGATAGATAGATAGATAGATAGATAGATAGATAGATAGATAGATAGATAGATAGATAGATAGATAGATAGATAGATAGATAGATAGATAGATAGATAGATAGATAGATAGATAGATAGATAGATAGATAGATAGATAGATAGATAGATAGATAGATAGATAGATAGATAGATAGATAGATAGATAGATAGATAGATAGATAGATAGATAGATAGATAGATAGATAGATAGATAGATAGATAGATAGATAGATAGATAGATAGATAGATAGATAGATAGATAGATAGATAGATAGATAGATAGATAGATAGATAGATAGATAGATAGATAGATAGATAGATAGATAGATAGATAGATAGATAGATAGATAGAATGATGGATAGATAACATTACATGGGTGAGTAGCTAGGTATAGATACAATGAGATATAAGAGATAAGAGATAGATAGATAGATAGATAGATAGATAGATAGATAGATAGATAGATAGATAGATTAATAGATATACAAGATAGATAGATAGATAGAATGATGGATAGATAACATATTACATGGGTGAGTAGCTAGGTATAGATACAATGAGAGATAAGATAGATAGATAGATAGATAGATAGAATGATGGATAGATAACATATTACATGGGTGAGTAGCTAGGTATAGATACAATGAGAGATAAGAGATAAGAGATAGATAGATACATAGATAGACAGACAGACAGACAAATAGGTAGAATGATGGATAGTTAAAATATTAAATGGGTGAGTAGCTAGGTATAGATACAATGAGAGATAAGATAGATAGATAGATAGATAGATAGATAGATAGATAGATAGAATAAAAATTTTAAATATGCTTTTTATACACCAGCCAATTTTATAACCAAAACCAACTGTGGAGGCTCTGTATTGAATCTTCTATTAAGACACAAGGCTGCCAATATCCAGAGTATGTTTAACTCCACACGTAAAACCACACTATAAATACAGTAGCTGAACAGAAAGAAAGGAAGGAACATGGCTCACAGAACGGACAATGGTTCTACAATCTGGATTTATTCCGTGTGCTTTTCAAGAATATAAATAAAGACCAAACTTACGAAATCTGTGTGCTGGAAGCCCAAGCCTATCTACACATGTTAGTTAGCAATGATGTCACAAATCTACCCCTTGTTCATACTGTTGTTTTCTTTTAATGTGCTCCACTTTGACCTGCGAAATTTGGTACCTTGTTTACCTATCCAATTTATTGGATTTTTTTAAAAATCATTCTTTATACATGGTTTTTCTTTGTTTTTTTAATTACATATATGAACAATGAGTCAACAAAATATTTATTTACAGAACTGTGGCAAAATTCTACAGTGACAATGAGTGAAAATAAGATATCTGTTGCCATCCGCACATTCAGTTCCTCCGTAGTAATATAATAATATTTTTTTGTTTTCACGAATGGCTGCTTATTTTAGCTTGACGCGTCATATAAAAATAATGTTACGTTAAGACGACATCAGACGAGAATTGCACAATAAGAATAATAATTATAATAATTGTAAATATTACAGTAATGGTAATATAGTTCTCTATTAAACAGTAAAATTTCTTGCCAATATATGAATATTAATCTGCGTGGCATTGCCAATTACGTCAACAACCGTTCCATAGTGATTTTGGCACGAGACGCATCAGTTTCGTGGTTGTCCAGTGCAATGAGTCCATTCACATTGTGCATATTCATATTTTTAGATCAATAACCATAAACAAATGAAATAAAGAAAGGAAGATAGAAACAAAGAAAACAGAAAAGAAAAAATACAGAAATTTATGTAAATGTCCGTTTTTATCCCAGTCCAGACATGCCATGGTATTTTGGACTAGATATTAGGAAAAGTCAGTGTAGTGTGTCCGAGTCGCCATAGCGACAGTCCTTCCCCAGTCCGTCTCTCGCGCAACAAAGTTCTATGTCGGCCGCCGTCCTTCAGAACGCAACTCAAATCGCTGCCTCTTGAAAAGTATACATTCGAATTCCACAGTCTCCTCCTGTTGTTTTTTTTATGCAGTGTGTGTGTGCGAGTGCATGCGAGTGTTTCGTCAAAAGGGTCCACGTCGGCAGTCCTTGTACGCGTACACCAAGTCCCAGGGGAAAAAGTCCTTGTGCAAATCCTTACACGTGTGTTACGAGAGGCTCCAGTGACGCTTTTAGGGTCCGTATTTGTGGTCCGTTTTTGCAATGCATGTGAGAGTGAGGGTCCATGTTAGGGGCAGGCTACATTCTCTGAATTCCACTGTAATAGACATGGGCGTCCGCCATTGCCCTGTGAATGAAATCACATCACTTATCCAAAGTGTCCATCAAAAAAAAAAAGCTCCAGTTCACATGGACTGCATGCTTTCCATCAACTACACTGCATGTCTCAGGACTGGCTCGGGTTTTCGTTCACAGGCAAAACCAAAAAAAGGGAAAGAAAGAAAATACGACGGGAAAACTTTTCGGAAAGTAAGGAATACACGCAATTTGAGAGACAATTTTTGGCGGGTGTCTCATCGTAAAGTAAGCCTTCGTTAAATGCTATCTGACAAACTTCTGCGTCCACAAATTAGTTTTATGCTTAGACTGACTAAAACAAGCTCGTAAATCGTGTGCTGTTTAAGAAAAAACAAAAAATCTCCCCTAAATAAGGGAATTTAAATCACAGCAGACTTTTTTTTTCTTTCTCTCTGACAAGCGCAGGTACTAAAAATTAAAACTTCACTACGAGACGAAAGAAACAACACAAGCAAAATGTCCTTCATGTGAAGTCCAATCTCCATTCTATGCCAGCCATTTCGGATGCCCCACCTCGCAAAAATCTCTCCATTTCCCTCCCGCATTGCTAACCCTACGCTGTCTAGTCAGAAAGAAACAAAGAAAGCAAATCCCGACAACATGTGTGTTTATAAGGCTTGTAGCAGCATTACGGTTTTAAGTTGTCATTCAAGCAGTCGAGGGGGGCGGTGGGGAAAGGCTGGAGAGGCGCTTCTCGAAGAAGCCGAGGAAAGAGTAGCGAGGAACGGAGGGAAGGAGAAATCAAAAGAGGAGAGGGGGAAAAACTGAATGAAAAACAACCGCTTGCAACACTTTTTTGTGTGTTTTGGAGGAGGATCGGCAGCGTGGCGGCCCTGAGGGCTGAGCGGGACCTTCCCGTATTGTGCTGCGGCCAGAGAGGTGGGGGGGGGTAGTGGCGAGTGAGATCAAGAGATAGAAAGAAAAAGAGGGGCAAAAGATCGAAGGAGAGAAAAGACAGCGGCAGCGTCATCATGCAGAAGCCACGGTAAACGGGCGGGCTTGGCCGGGCGGAGAGACGCGGGCTTGTCACAGGTCACTGGGCCCATGGCTCCGTGGGGGGCCTCTAGAGGGCGCTCTCTGTAAGGCACACACACAGGAGTGGACAGTATTTTGGGTGTATATTAGAAAATAGTGGTCTCATACTTGGTGTTGGCTCCTCTTTTGGCTTCCTGTCCTGGCTCGACTATCCAGGGAACATTGGCGTGGCCCTTTTGATCCATTGAGGGCTGCTCCATCTGGGGTGCACACAGGGGGGAAAAAAACAAGAGGAGAGTGGGTCAGAATGCGCTAGTAATTTAGAGGGTTAAAGGCGGTCACGCTGGATCTTGCGTTCCCTTTTTTGTTTCCATTTGTATGCATACGCACAGAATTGTTTTTTTCTTCTTCTTTGTACTAAAGATTTGGTGACCTAAGCAAAAAGAAGTCTGCCATGTATGTCACAAATTGACTTCCTGGATAAAAATCAAACATGGGTGAAATTTGATTATTACAAGTTTAAATTAATATTATTAGTTAAACAACAGTCAACAATTTTTAGGTTGATGGTTAATTCATATTCATTGAAAATACATAAAACTCATTTAAATGTTAAAATACAAAAATACAGAAATGATCATAAACCTACATTAATAGATTACTGTAAAAGTAATAATAAATAATACTACAATAAAAACAATATACCAATAATAATAAAATATACCAAAATATAACAACAAAATTTATTATTAATTGTAATATTTATTTATGAACAACAGAAGCCCTGAAGTATGACATCATATTCTCTTACTCATATTTATTCACTATTAATTAATGTTCATAAACTAATTTAAGTATTTATGTATATAAAACGTAAAAATGATCATAAATATGAATAAATAAATAAATAAATAAATAAATACTGTAAAAGTGGTTGTTGAAAGTTAACACATTAAGGTTAACTTAATAGTTGTTGTTATTATTAATTATTACTTATGAAAAACAGAAGCCCTGGTGTATGACGTCATATTCTGTAACTCATATCAAAGAATCTGAAGTAATTTACATGCTTACGTCTAGTGTGGCCGCCTCTTAAGTCAGAGAGAGAGAGGTGTAATGTGATTGGTTAACCACATGACAATCAGACTGTCATACTAACACAAACAAGTGAATTAACTCCACATTACATAATTCTTATTTTACACCGCTGATATCAAATTCATTTGTTATATTACATATCAGTGACAATATTCATCTTGCAGATCTGCTGTGGTCAAAACTACCCTACGACTAGTACATCTTTATCAACCAATCAAAACACTGTTCCTTGTTGCCATGGCAGCTCAGCCTTGCTCCACATAAAGCTCAGCTATACATGGCTCGGAAACGTGAATCACACACGCGCACAAATGCAGGGTCTTTTACGTCTGCTGTTGGCTTGTCTTGAGTTCTTTATCAGGTTTTTCCATATGCAGCTGCATGAATATTAAATAACATAATCCTCACTCTGCCTAGCTACCTCTGACTGCTCTCAAACACACACACACACCCCCACACCAACTTCATTCTTCTCCATATCCAAATGCTTTAAAAAAGGAAACAAGACGCTAATCTTATGCAATAAAACTCTAATATGAGGCATCGACCTGAAAAGGAGCTTAATGGTTTGATAACACAGCTCAGGGAACGGTGAGTTGGTGTCTTGGGATAAGAAATCTTGAAATATTTCTATCCTCGTTTAGTCAGCTGATGTTCTGGACGGACAGACCATTGCAGGACGACAGGAAAGAAGGATTCAGATGATGAAGAGATGAATCAAACAAACAGATCTGAGAGATGAGTTAAAATTATTTTCTGTACCTTTCTTTAACCTGGAATTTTCCTTTTAATAATTAAGCGAAAAATAAAAAGACCAAGAAAAATGACAAAATAAGCAAAAACATTAGGCCTGTCAATTTAACATTAATTTAGTGCAAACATTAAAATAAATAATACATAAATAATTATTCACATTTTTACGTAACTGACAGACCTAAAAAATAAATAAATAAAAAAGGGGAAAAAGAAATCAAGGCAAGGAAAATGTTAGAAGACCTGAAATTGAACTTGAATGATGGAGGAGTCGTGAGGTATGAAGAAGAGAAGAAGGACGAAGAGGAGGCCGGTGCAGGGTGAAAATATGCCCCATGGACCAGCGGCTAGAGGGGGGAATGACCTAGAGGCGGAACAAAGAGGTCACAGAGGTCAAAGCTTGGGAAGGTTAACACACACACACACACACACACACACACGTATATGGGTGATTCTTTAATTAGAGGACTTTTATCTTTAAAGATGACAGATCAAAACAGCTTTTGTTTCTTTTAGATGTTGTTTCTTTACTTTTCCTTCAGCTTGTTAAAGACTGTTAAACTACAACTGGCAGAATCTTACTATTTTGGGCCTGCCCCAATCCAGACTTCTACAATAAACTACCTACAGCAGACCGTAATTTAGGTCTTAAAAATGGTTAAAAGCTGCTGTCCAAGTTTTTGTCTCACACTCTAAAAACATGATCAGTAAATCATGACAACTAATGTTTTTTTACATTACAACATCAAAATAAGTTGAGCAATTTCAACTTTTTTTATAAGTTAAATGAACTTGACTTTTTTTTAAGTCGGTTTAATGTGCTTTAAGTTGAAATGACTTGTACAACCAAGTTGATTATGCTTAAAATTTTAAGACAGCAACTGAACATAAGTATTTGAGTTGAAATAAGTGCAATTAGGATGTATTTTTGTTGATGTAGTTAAATTTAGAGTACATTTATCTGTTCAAGTTTAATGCTGTCCCCCCAACTGAGATTTTATATTCATCTCAAAAGTCAGTTTTCTGTGCCATAAAAATCTCTGATTAAATTATAACATTGGATAGTTACATATTCAAAAATATATCGCCTGCTTAACTAGCTTCAATATATATATATATATATAATAATTAATGTAGAAACAACAAAGACAGTATATTTTTAATATTTGTTTAATGGCATATTTTTTATGACTGAAGGAGATCATAAATACATAAATACCAATACTATGGATGTCTCAATGACATAATAACCCCCCCCCAATATTTAACCATTGACTATAGCCAGTCAACATTACAGTATAATTGAGAGCTATCAATTTGAACATTTATTAGAATTAACATAAACCCATTATAATAGATGTCATATTTAGCTACCTGTGCCCTTCAGCAAGTAGGAAATATACAGAACTTTAATAAAGTTATCGAACACTTCATTCTAAATTAAATATAGATTAATCCTTAAAGCTACAAAAGTCACTGATTTCCTCTTTTTTCTTTTGTTCTTTGATTAACAGACATCACAGCAGCTGGGTTATTAGGTTATTTTGGCTGCTTTAAGAGCTGCCGCTACTGAACATGCTGCGGATCTGACACGCATCTCTTAACCAATTCTGACCCACCTCAGGTCTTAAAGTCTCTACTAATGAGCTGACGAGTGTGTTAGAAGAGGTAGACAGTGTTGGGCTGCTCCAGGTCAGTTTTGAAAACCACTGCATTTCAGAGGCATTTCTTAAACGTGACTCATTTAACAAATACTTGCATGCACAGTTATAAGGCAGCTTTAAATGCCTTTTTGGTAACTTCATGACTTAACTGACGACATAACTATGACTTTAGTTAGTTTAGCACTTTAATATGAAATTATATAGGCTACAGCGTGCACCGCTGCATTTGTGCATGCAATTGAAGAGCACAGTATTTTTTTATTGCTACGAGCACAGTATAATGGCAGACAGGACAGGAAAATTAGTTTTACTGACATATGGCCTCAGTTCACTGTTGTTCTACTGAAGCTCCCTCGTCACCTGAATCTTTTCCGTGCTCGTTTGACTAGCGCCTGGCACTGAGGCAAAGTTGGAGTGCTCGTCTAAAAAAGTATCTCATTTGATATGGTTGTAAAGACATTCTGCATCTAAATAAATGCAATTCTTGTCAAGAAAAAAAGAGAAGCAGCAGTTGTGAGTGGGGTGGCCAAACCTAGCTCCGCCCCTGCATTAATTGCGTTAAATATTTTTAATGCGTTAAACTGAAAAAATTAATCGCATGCATTAATGTGTTCATTTTGACAGCACTAATATGGTAAAAATGTCCTTAATTGAAGAATCACCCAAATTCATTCAAATGCAGGAGTGGACACACATAGAAATGAGCAGAACAGGATGAAGAAAAGAGAGAAGGAATCCGTTCTAATGGAGCAACACAGCGTATCGTGTCCATATGGAGAAGAGTTACCTCAACATAATGAACAATTTCTTCTACACAAGGGAAAATCAATATCCGAGTACACCACCCCAGCCACAGACGATGCTGTTAGTGTTCAGAGTAACAACACACACACTCTCAGACCAACAATGGACCTTATTCACGAAAAACGAGCAAAACAAATGTGTGTAAATCATTCATAAATCCATTCTTACATAAATTGTCACATAAGCACTATTCAGACGAGATTAGTATTCCAAATGACTTTTGAGTTATAACTATGAACACAGGATGCCTGTGATTTCCTGTACTGATTCACATGGGACTGGGATCTTTGTAGTTGTTACTAAGCTCAGAGTGTGTATAATATTGATTTTAAATATTGGCTCATGCCCCTAAAAAGATAATCGCGCAAATGTCGAAATCAAGCAATGGGTTATAAGTTCATGTTCGTCTGTACTGTTTTTAATTATAAAACTAATTTTATGATGAGGGCCAGATAGGATACCAAAGTTTTCTAATGTCATTCACTGGAGGCCTTTAGTTAACAGGAAATATTAATCAAATAACAATATAAAACAATAAAACAACACATAGTTAGGCCTAAAAGAAAAAAAAAAAACTTGAAATGACAGCAATTAATAAATGAACAAACGTGATAAGATTAAGATGTGAACTATCATGTGCAACAACAATTTAAAGTTCATGGTGTTGGTAAAAATTGAATATTGACAATATATCAGTGTTTTTTATAGTATCATTGAGGTACTATTTTAGTTTTTATTCATATTTTGAATTAGTTTTCATTTTTATATTTTCAGGTTTCATTGTAATTTTAGGTAACATTTTAGTAATTGTTTTTAATGTGTATATCGTTTTTTTTAATAGTAAGACTAAAGTTTTTGAAGAAATTATTGTTACTCAGGAAGGATGTATTAAATTGATCAAAAGTGACAATTTTACAAGTTTACATCAGTTACAAAAGATTTCTATCTCACACGAATGCTGTTCTTTAGAATATAGAAAAAGTATCATGGTTTCCACAAAAATATTAAGCAGCAAAACTGTTTTCAACACTGATGATAAAAAGAAATCAGCATACTTGAATGATTGCGTTGTCATTAACAGTTCAACTTTTGACACACAACAGATCAACATCAAGTTTAAATCAATACACCAAATCAAAATTAAATTCTGGACACACATTGTAGCAGCTCAAACCAGAGACTGTTTCCCATGATGCATCACTCAGCTTGAGCACACACAGACAAGTGCAGGTTCAAGGTGTGCAGGCAGCTGTGCAGGTGTACATATGTACAGATGGATGAGGTGAGACAGGCTAGAGGTTAGAGGCTTAAGTCAGTGTTTGTGTGTGTGTTAGTGCTCAAAGGGCAAAGTCACTCACAGATTTGCGTATGTTGACACGAGGTTTAGGGACAGGTTTGGAGGGTTTGCTGTCGAAGCTCTCGGGCAGAGTGGATGACCCGTGGCCGCTCTTTCGGGCCTGCAGGGCTAACTGATACGCCACCTCAAACGCCTGGCCCAACGTCAGGATAATCTCGTAGGCCAGATTCTGTGTAAAAATACACACAAACACGCAGAGATGATCAGAGACCCACTTTCAAAAATCAACTTACAATTTACACTTGTGGGGGATCTACGCTGCTACAAATCAGTTGAGAAAATGAAGATTTGAGTTCAATTTAGTGCTACTACATTTGGCAGCATTTTAGCATTTCCCTTCCATAATTTCAGAGCTTAGTGATTTTTAAATGATTAAAAACATGCTTGAAGCATATTATAAATTATTCATGTGTTGTGACTAGCTGACGCACAGACAGTTCTGTGGTGTTACTGTGACAGACGGTAACACAGAAGACATCAAGCTTACTTAAGCAACAATTTATTTAAAAAAAACGCCACTGTAGCCATTTAAGCTAAGAAAATGTGCATTTTATACTTAAAATGACTGCACAGATTCTATAAAATGTGACATATCAGACCTACCAAGAGATTTCACTCACAATTTTTGTAATCTAATCACAGAAAATAGTTCAAACACTAGACATACATATATATATATATATATATATCGGGGGCGTTTCCTCTGAGGAGGCAAGTGAGGCAGTGGCTCCTCAAAATATTAAATGAGAAAAAAATTTGTAGTACAGAAATAAAACAACATCAATATTACAAAATATAACATTGAAAGTGTATAAATCACTCGTTTTTCTAAAGAAACATTGTCCAACAGAGACACCACTAAAGCATGCGGTGGTTTTGGTGGGGGGTAATTGAAAATGAATGGGGGAAAGTCACATGAGAGGAGGTAATGCCACCATCGCGATATGACTGGTTATGTTCGGCTATGATTGGTTCATGCGATAAATCCCGCCTCTTGTGTTGATGCACGTTCCACGTTCGTGAATCAGTCTGAATGAACAACATAATGCTGCTAATGGGAAGAGTAATTTAAAAAAGTAAGTAAACAACTCGCACACTTAGATATAACCACTTTGTTACGTCAAAATAAGACTTAAAATGGCTTGAAAACATGATCTGTGGGAGTTTTTAGTCAGTAATCAGCTTGGTGAAATTGAAAGTAAATCTCTGTTTGTGACCAATATTTACCGAGCTTTTATGACTGATGATCTGAAAAATTCAAAAATAGTTAAAAGTTAACTATTAAAAAGAATAGCTGAACATAAGTTCACAAATAAAATATATTGTTTAAATTGTTACTGTGTTCTTTTTCAAATATCTCTTAAGTTTTTTATACTGTGCTTCAGAATACCATTAATTTATGAAATAGGCTTAAAAAACTGCCCTTCAACTCCTGTTACACACATATATAGACTATACATTTAAATAATTAAGATTACAAATAAAAAATAGGCGACTTTCGTTGTTTTGCCTATTTTGGCCTTCTGTCACATTAATTTGCTATTATTGATTAAATTGATACTAATCTTAAAGTAATAATCAAATACATCTTCACTAATATTTGAATAATAATTTCATTTTCATTTATGAAATATGGTATTCCTCAGACATGCTTTGCAACACTTGCATGACCTCTGTGCATTTGTAACTGAGCTTTTATGTATGTCTAATTTTTATTTATGCTTTATCGGGAAGTTCAAAAGTGAATTTATTTTTTATGTTTTACTAACCACATCAAAAGCTGTAAACACGTGGCAGTAATGATGGCTGGATTTCAGGTCCTTGGTGATGTACGCAAATGTGGACAGATCTTCAGGGTCCTGCGCGGCACATGAGATATTCCTGATCTCATGCTCTGCTATAATGTTCTAAACATCAGACAAAGAAATAAGAGGGAATCAAAATATCGGTTATTATTTATCAATAATATTTTTCTATTCTACATTTATAACATGAACTGTCAATATAATGTGACTTATAATAGCACTTGTAATATCTATTCAGTGCTTTGTCAGAATAATGTAATGTCCTTTGTCTTAATCACAATAAATTGCATGTCATTAAAGAAATTCAACTGCATTTTTATTGACTGACGGCCCTAATTTTTATCTTATTAAGGGAAATGAAAGTTACGATTACAATCTATGTATAAATTAGGATTAAATTGATGAGTACCTTGTTAGTGGCATCAATAAACTTGACGCCCTTATAGGAGACAGACAGTACTATGGTGGGAATCTTCTTCATCTGTTCTGTAGACTTCTTACAGAGAGGATGAGAGGAGGAGAGATCAGCAGACAGTCTTACAGTCTCTGACATTAACATTCATGAGGCCCCATCACACACTGACTGAGATCTGCTTAATACAAACTCAAACACACACTAAATTATTTACACGTAATGTCATTCAGTCCCCTGCAATAACCCAGATAGTGTGCCATCTCATGAGACAAACAAAAAGGGCCAAAATAACATTCTGCACTGTTTAAACTATGGCCTCATTGGGTTTGAAAGTTGGTGACATAATATACCGCATATAAAGATGCTGGAAAAAGGTGGTTTTAGCTGGTTTAGCTGGTCTCCCAGTCTGGTCAAGCTGGTGTTTAGTTGGTCTGTCAGCGGGAGACAAGCTGTCAAGTGCTCAAAACCTCTCTTACACCAGCAAACCAGACCAGGTTGAAAGACCACCTCAGGCTGCAGGGGCATAAATCACATGCGGCCGAGGATGATGATGAACTGCAGAGAAGTTGTCAGAGTGGAATATATATTCATCTGGACCTCATTTCCCCCCTCGCTCTCTCTCTGTCAGTGGTTTCCCTCTACTGTTCTGTACCTGCCAAAATATTCTGCTTAAAACAAAGAGTGAGAGACGGAGGACCTAAATTTACACCCTCTGAATGTATTAATGTGTTTGTGAAGAAGCAAGGGGCGGCAGGTCTCAAACTCTCTCGGCCTCATCAAAATGTGCAGCGGGGAGCAGAAAGGGGAGAGATGGAGAACAGATGGTGTTTTACATGCATACAAAAAGAGAGCGGGTGAACTGTCCTGCCGTGTTAAATAATCTCATGAGAACGGGGGGCCGGGGGCTGTTGAGGTAAGAGAAGGTATTCTGAGGTAAAGCGAAGTCGATGTATTCATACGCTGTGGGAAGTAGGCTATTTATACGATTATGAGAAGAGTCATAATTGGCCATAATATTATTTCCCTTCACACTGCCTTGTGTGCGTGTTCATCCATAATACACTGTGTTCTTACGTAGGCTTGTAAGAACAGAGACATTTCCTGTTTTCTCAATGACTGTGTGTCATAGTGACCTGAGGGCAGCAGGAGCATGACTAGACAGATTGTATAGTGGTTGCCATGGTGACAACTCTTACCCTCATTTTTGCGCAGGCATCATGCGTGGACTCTGTACCGCGCAACTCCTTCACCAATATAGAGCCCAGATACTGCAGAACAAACACACACAATCAGAAATGAGAAACACGTTCATATAGTTAGAGTATATGTATAAGATATTTAAAAAAAAAGGACAGACTACTATACAACTTTATTATTATTTAAAATTATTTTAAAATTATTTTATTATAAAAAATAAAATCTATATTCATTTCTAAATTAGATATTTTAATACTATTATATAAAGTTATTCTGATTTTAAATAATAATATTTTTATTAAATTTATTATGTATTAAAAAAATAGACATTTATATCTTTGTTATTTATAAATTATGAGTTTTCTCTAAAGCTAGTTTATAATTCATATAAAAATTTTTACTATTTAGTTTAACACGAGCTTGTACATATAAATGAGTTCTTTTATAATTGGCTAACCTATCTGCATGTGAAACTAGTTATAATGGTAATGTGGGCGGTCAAATGTTGAAGTACTCATGGTCCTGACAAGTCTACCTCAGTATTCAAATTACTATTTAAAATTTTTTTTTTTTTAATACATGATCTGGGTGGACTGGAGAGTTGCGTCAAGTATGTCTCTTTTATTTTAAAAGAGTAACAAAATCCTGATTAAGGAATTACTTTCCCAGCAGTAGGTGTGCACAGATTGTGCGTCACTGTGAGTACAACTGTCAGCTAAATCAATAACAAAATGGAATTACAATGAAGCGCGTAGGAAGAGATTGTTTGGAAAGAGCGTAGTTAGTGCCGTGATCTGGTGAAGTGTTACACTGCACTGCTGGGTATCGGACAAGGACAACCTTGAGAGCCAGCGGGCTGTGTTTCACATGAAAGCAATCTGGCATCTACAGTCAGGTCACATGAGTGTTTTGTAAAGCACACTGAGTGTAAAACCCAATCATCTTACGACTAGATGAGCCTGAAATGTTTATTGCCAAGACAAGCCGATGCTACGGTCACATTTTCAATCACAAAATAACATGCATATTATTTCCAAATCCACTCTAGACCATTAATCACACACATCTGTAGTTTAATTTAAGCGCACACTTTCTCTGTATCTGTGATTCTTCATTTTTATTACATTTCTTTTTTTTTAATTTATATATATTTATATATTTTTTTCATTTTAATACTTTATTTTTATTTTATTTTATTGAAATACTTTATATTTTAATATTTTTTTTATTACATTTCATTTTCTTGTAATATTTTATTTCATTTTAATATTGTTATTATTCTAACTATATTTTATTTATTTTATCATTTTATTTGCCAGATAGAATGATTTTCAAGTAATATAACATCAATAGTTAAAAAGAGTACGTTTTTGTGTTCATGTTTGTCAGGGAAGTGTCTCATTACTGACTTAAAGCACCATGAGAGTCAGGAACATCATCGTTTAAGTGTGATATCAATTGATTTTGCAACATTTTACTTCTAGTGGGATAAGCATTGATCCACAGATCTGTCCATTCCTTCACAGCTCTATACTGGGAATACACTCTTGACCTTTGGCCTCTGTGGGTCAGTCACACTTACACGAATGGACTCTGTTCATAAACTCCATCAGTGTTTTTGGCACAGGAGAATAAGCCAATCAAATTTACATGGCTGTTGCTAGGAAACAGAGTGGGTTTATGTAAGCTAATACTAGAGATGCTCGGGCCCAGAGAGAGCTGAAAAAAGCTGTATTGATTGAAGGTTAAAACACCATTTATTCACCACTAAATAACTAAAGGACTCACAGATAGCTTTCACGTTCACTTTTCTCTTTCGCTATCTGATGGCTTACAGGAGCTCGCCAAGGCCAAATTCGCATCTAAATTCTTCGGACGCTCACATTTAAAGTGTTTTTCAGTTCCTTTATGTGTTGTTTTTGTAGGGAAACCTGAGAAACATTTATCATTGTTCACTTCTAACACCCACACTTACATATGCTTCATAGTCACATGACTGGAATATAAGCTTCTCAGGATGGTGCTGCCAGTACTGCACTGGCGTAGAGGACGTCGCCTCGTTCGGAGGCCGTAACGTGATTGGCTCGCACCATTCCCCTTGCTGAAAAGGAGGGTAATGGAAAAACAAACATTAGTAATCAAATCAAGGTCCAGAGTTTAGGTTACAATCACAAAATCTGATGGTATTTTTTATTATTTTTTATACTTTATCGCTTTAAAGGGGTAATATGATGAGATTTCAATTTTTCCTTTCTCTTTGGAGTGTTACAAGCTCTTGGTGCATAAAGAAGATCTGTAAAGTTATTTTTAATGTTTTTGTCTCATCGCTCCGGGACACGGCATCACAATATGGTAAGGGGCGTAACATTCCGTCACACGCTTGAGGTATTCGGCCAATCACAACGCACTGGATAGCTGGCCAATCAGAGCACACCTTGCTTTTTCAGACCGATGAGCTTTGTAAAAATCGACGCGTTTCAGAAAGGCGGGGCATAGAGGAGAAACAGTAATGTACAGTATGTGGAAAATAATGTGATTTTTGAACCTTAAACCGCATAAACACATTTCATTACACCAAATACACAAAATAATGTTCTTTTTAGCAACATCATATGACCCCTTTAACACAACACCGTTTTGAACTAAACAGAAAACATTTAAGGTGTTTTGGCCATTCATTTACATGACAAAGATGGTTTGGAGGCCTGAAAATGCAAACTATACCGTTATCGTCTCTGCTGTCGTCTGTATGCATTAATGCAAAGAAAAAACATTTTCATTTTTAGTATGTTGTCGTGTAAATGTACCCATAGTTTTCTAGATTTTTTTTCATAGTTTTCTGATTTTTTGAAATTGAAAATAAAACACTTTACAAGAAAATACTACAGTTTTTCTACTTCAAATTTTGACTTTTAAATCAATGTTTCTTGCTGTTTCTTTGAATTTTTTGTGAAATTTACTAGCAATTTCTAAGAGAAAATCCTTTCTACAATTTAAGCAGTTCTGTTCAGCTTTTTGTATTCGGTCTAAAGCCCTTTTCTCACTCGTTCACTCTTTTTCTTTGTCTCTCTCTCCCTCTGTAATGATACATGGAGACACAGGGCAGGAAAAACTGATAAAGGGTAAAAGAAGAAGAGGACGTAAGGTCATTTTGCAACCTTTTATCATTACGTTTTGTGTGATAACTCATTCTATTCACAATCACTGCAAAACACACCGGCACGCGCATCAATGATAAGCTCACAATGAGAGATCATAGCCACAACATTCACAATCGCGTTTAACACACCACAATGCTGATTTATTGTGATATTATCAGGACATAAAGGTGCACGAAGCACAATTGGTCACACCAAAACTGGAGGACACAAGTGACGCAAGTGCACTAACTCACCATACTGACTTGTGCCATCTGTCTCTCTAGTTTCGAGCGCGGCACATCCTCGAAGTAGTTGTCGTTGCGTCTGCGTCTGGCGTCGGCCTGCATGATGAGGTGCTGGACGTCCAGGGAGCCGGCGTTGGGATAGGCCTGACTCAGAGAAGGGGACAGCTGAGGTGGAGTGTGGTTCCCGGTGGGCTCCTGCGGGAGGGCGATGAAGAAAAGGTTTTGGGTGGTTAGTAGAGCAACTGCCTTTGAGATGAATGGGAATGCTAACGGACAGCTTTCTCTAGGGATTTTCTTATTGGAGGTCTAGCTGTGTGCCTGTTTTTGCTTTGTGTTTGAATTCATTTTTTAGTCATACGGCCCACTGTTTCTACATCAGACAGTCCTCGTCCTTTGATTAAGAAGGAATATAAGCTGTGGCCCAAAGGAACTCTGATTTCTGTTGCTCTGGACTGGCTTTGGTATCGATTTGACTCCTGGAAAAGAGTTTGAGAGCAGCTGTCTGATCCAGCCTGGAAGATCAAGTTAAATCCCTGGAGCGGCTCAGGGCATAAGAATGCCATCGCTCTCAAGATAAGACTAAATTGCACAGAAAATGACATTTTCTGTTTTCTTAAAAACATTTCTCTGTCTAAACATAAAATACTGCATACAGCATAATGAGTGACATTTAGGATGAACATTACATTTATCATTGCTAGGTGACTGACAACATAACAGACATAATGTGAGGGGAGCTTTTGTTGGAGAAAGAGGAAGATTTGGACTCACCCTTAGAGAGATGGCCCGTGGTGGTTTCTGTGGAGGGTCTTCGTGCAGTCGATCTCCAAGTGACGCTAGTATTCTTTTCCTGTGGCCGATCAAATTAATCTTAAGAACCTGAAAGAGAGAAAGAGACGGGGAAAAGTGAGTGCTGTGCATTTATTCCTGTGAGTTTAGTCCTCTGAAATTTGGGGCAAATTCACTAAACAGTTTTGTCACTTTTGTGCAGAGTATTGCAGCGCGAAAAACTCATTTGTATCACCACCTTCAAGTTTCAAGCCAACACGAAATCAAAATGAACTTGCTTGTTAATGAAACTTCCTGGTTTTATCTGTGGATGGTATTCTAAATTAAAATAACATATAAAACATTGTCATAAATTTTAATAAAATGTAATTTGTTCCAGCACGTAGCAATAATAATAATAGAAGTAACATAAAATGCAATGGATGAATGAATGTTTTCATGAACTTCAATAAGTCCATACATGTTTTAATAAATTTTAATAAAATGTAACTTGCTCCAGCACATACTGGATCATACTAACTCGCGTTTGGTGTGCAATGAATTTGTGAACTGCTAACTTATATATAGTAACCATATTCTAAAATTCTCTGAAATAGAATTCACTGTGCCATATTTCAATCCAATAATTACATTTTATTCAGTGTAAACATGCCTTCTTTCCAAACTTCCTTCAGTGAATCGGGTGCTAAAACCACACAGACAGCGTTTTATATTCACTTTGTGTCTGTTCTATACAACTACAAAGTTTTTGTCCTCAGGAGCTTTTGTTTTACTGTCTGAAGTGCATTAGGGGTGTAATAATAGTAAAGGATGGTCACTAAAGAATCCCGGTCAATCTGATGAAACTTAAAGAACACACACACACAGAAAGAGACCACAAACACACAAAGATCAATAATGTCTCTAAGACTCCTACTTTTTCAGTCTGCCCCATTTTTTCTCTCTCTCTCTCTCTCACACACACACACACACACACACACACTCACACTCAAACACATAAATACCGCAACCTCAACGAACAGGGAATTACTCCACCCAGTTAATGAACAGTGTTCTGTCACTCAGTTGAGCCATTACTGTAAACCAGGTTTCACAGAGGCATCTAATGCATGTTAAAAAGCTGCTTTAGTCACAACACACATGGTAGCTTCTCATTGGCCGCCTCATTTCTGTCCCTATAGCAACAATTTTCTCTAGCTTCATATAAAATGATCACCACTATTTTATCCTAGAAAATCAAATCAATGGGAGGATATTTCCTTTCAGCACAAATCCTGGTTTTCGATTACGACACCGTGTCTGGAACTGACAATCCAATGCTGAGATTATGACCTGCAGATAAAGGAGCAGAGCTTCCATAATTGTCCATGTCCATGACTCTTCCATGACCTTCCCAGTTCATGACTACTGGATAAGGATATTTGACAATAATTGAGACACTAGTTTTCCCATTTATTTGCAAAATGAATCGACTGGTTTGAGTGTTTTTGAATGATTCATTGGTGGAAAAAACACACAAAAATTCACACACGAAAAAAGAGGCTTCTGAAATGTAGATATCCTTCGAGCAAGTCTTACTTTTTACAAGAAATTTATTTAGCCAACTGAATATTTCAGAGCAGATGGGATAGAAAAATATGCATTGAATAATTTACTTTAATTATTATATATTATAATATGTAATTTATTAAAATGTTCTGGTGTTAACATGTGTGTGAAAGAATATTACCAATATTTAGATTTTTGTTTAATACAGTTGCCCACTGTGAACACCTTCACTTCCCTCAGTACCAAATCCATTCCAAGAAAGGAAAAACAAATGTCTGCAGGCTAAACAATTGTTCATACTGGCTAAAATACCTCCATCTTCATGGGCAGAACTACTTACAGGAGCCACACATTTTAACGCTTTGGGTTAATGATCCCGTGTTTGTCTTTAAAGCCTCTCATGTCTAAAATAAATTAGTGTAAGGAGGTTTAGGATTGTGTGCACCAGAGGCTCATTAACCCTGTTTAAACCCTCTGGAGATGCCACAAACAAGCCAATCTGAAGCAGCCAGCAGCCGCTCTCCCTCAGGCCCACGCTGGCCAGATTACAGGTGGTTAGGGCAACAGAGACTGGAACTGGACGGAAAACCCTTCAGGACAACAGCAGGATGTGTGCTTGCTGAAATTAGACAGTCTGCTTGAGATAACTGGCCAGTTTGGGAGTTTAAACCACATAAAACGTGATTTCAATGTGCCTGGAGGTTTCACATGAGAAATAAAGTACACAAACACACAAGGACACAGCTATGCTTGTCTGAAGTAGTCAGACTTGTGTTTTTGACTAGTGACGAAGTCTGGTCCACTTCGTAGGTTATTCTGGCCAAGAATGATTCCTGCTCAGTTCTCGGTAGGGTTGACTGATATAGACATCTAAAAGTTCTACAATTTTCAAAAATATATATATATTTCTCAGTCTTTTCAACCCCATTTAATACACATTCATTTGTATTTAGTCTGAAATACATAAAACAAAAATGTAATAATGTAGTCTGTACCATATTGATTATATGTGAATGTGATTTTTTTTTTAATCGTACTGGCAGATACTATATATTTAATTGTAAATACTCATTTTCCACATATTTACATTACCTTTGCCATCATCAAAGTTAACACTAATAATTTAATAATACTGTTAAATATAATCTTTAGCCAATCTCAAAATGAATATCTATTTTTCATATGGTATATTATAATGTGATGCATACATTTACTTGTAGCATTTAAATTTAGTATTTTATTTATGTATTTTAAAAAATGGTAGTGAATTTTAATAACAGCCATAACATGCAAATAATTATTTTTTAAAATGTAAATAACGACGTAGTAGTGTCAACAGACCTTTGATTGCATAAACCTTGCGAGCATTTTGACTAGAAAACCTAGATCTTCATTGGATGCAATAATTAGCAGCCCTTGTAAAGACTAAGTAAAGCCAGCAGTAAAGCCAGCCAATCAGATTGAGGCTTGCAAACTTAATAATGCTCGTGCCATTCTTGCAGCCATGCATCAATAGTTCTTTAAATCTGAATACAGAAATGTAGAAGTTAATATAAGCTATTTATATTCCTGCTTGCATGCCATTGCAGTAGGAATCGGACAAGCTAAAGGAGAGAAAACAGGAGGAAATGAACAAAGAGAGGATGCTGAGTGTGTAAGGTTCAATACTGCCTTACTGCATGACGGTAAAAAGCAGAGGAGATTGAATTTAATTTAAATGCAAATGTGCAGAACAGGCTGCAGTGGAGATGCAATGTGCCATGGAGAAATACTGTACAGACTGGACGACAGCGCAAACGGCTCTATCACACAAGCGGAGCTTGTATGATATGTATAAGACTCGCATTACACATGCAGCAGGGGTGATAAAGAGAAGCAGCCATGTGTTTTAATCACTGCGACTGCTCGCGAAAATAACCGCACCACCGGGTACAGTATGCTGACTGTGGTGTAAGCTACTGAGAGAAAGCATCAGAGCTGCATCCTAATTCACATTCTAACTGTACTGAATATGAGATTAGGATTCATAGTGCACTAAATATAGTATGGCAAAGGTGCCTGGATGTATTTTTTGGTAGATTTTCAGGCATTTGTGAATTGCTTGAGCTAATACTCACTAAAAGCTCATTGAAAAGCACTTTGTAACGGTTCTCTTTCGACTTTTCCAGTAACAGTTCTTTTTCTGTAACAGTAACAGTGTATGAACCTAAAAATGATGCCACTCCTGCATAAATCCTAAGCAAAATGAATCCGTTCTAACTGCTCATCAAAGCACTCCTGCACAAACGGTTGCACTCAATTCAATTCAGTTTAAACAAATTTGTTAACTTCATATTTCATGTTTGAGGCCCAGTGATTACAAAGGTAATGCTTTTAGCTAGATGCTAATGCTACATACAAATGCAAACAGTACAGAAAAAAGGCAATACATGTAAAAATACATTTAAATAAATCTTAAATAAAATTAAATATAAATATTAGATCAACTTAAACCTTAAAAACTAAAATACTTAAGTTGAACTACTACATTTACAAAAATTTAAGCTGAAATAAAAACTATTAAAAAAAATAAGAACTAATAAAATTATGATAAAAGCATGTTACAAAATTACAAAATTTGAAACTAAAATTAAAATGAAATAAGAAGTTATTTCAGAATAATAATAAATACTATAATAGTATACATTTTTGTTGTAGTAAATAGTTCTTTCTTGCTACATGGGTCTTGTTGCTCCTTCTTTCAGTCTATGATTTGCCTACGATTAAAATACTAGGAATAAAAACTGTGATTCTACTGTGAAAGACAGACTAAAGGGCAAAGAATGGAAGCTGTTAGTGTGTAAACTCTGATTAAGAAACACCCAACTGCTTTACAGGACAATAAAGTGCAACTGCAGTTATCCAACAGCATGCTGCCGACCTTTCAAATCCAAAATCTTGATTTGCAACAAATTAATGCAGTCAAATTAGTGTGTTTATCTGCCAGTCAGTTAGGCCTATTTGACACCTAATCAGGCAGATCCTCATTGTGCATTCATTGGACAAAGAAAATCAGGGAGTGTGTGAAAGATTTGGGCACTCTGTAAAAAGAGAACAGCACAAACCATAGAGACCATTGACATTTTTACACAATAATTGAAGTGCTGTTAAAAACATTCAGCCGTTTCATGCATAATGGAGTCTTGTGAAGTCTCTTCTTTTCGGTGGATGTAATTGCTGCAGTGTTGGATGTTAAATGACAGTTAATCCCATTAGATTAGAGAAAGTGAGCAGGAAGCAGGTCTGAAGAGGGATTAACCTCAGCGGTCCAGCGGCAGTAGTGTAATCTCCACACCAGACGTGCACAAACTCCTGAATGAGTCTGAAACATTGTTGACATGGAGGGCTGATACACACACACACATACTTTTTTCTATACCAGTTTAATACGCAGAGACAACTAAATATTCAGCGGCTGATTCTCCCAAAACATTTCACACTTCCCCAGAAAGCTTGGCACAGCAACTTTGGCTCAACCAATGGCTTGAGTTTGGGAGCGGGAC